AGTCTATGGTAGAGGCAATCTGGTGTAGGTAGAGGCATATGCTCTTTATTAGAGTCTATAGTAGAGGTAATCTGATGTAGGTAGAGGCATATGCTCTTTATAGAGTCTATGGTAGAGGTAATCTGATGTAGGTAGAGGCATAGGCTTTTTATAGTCTATGGTAGAGGTAATCTGATGTAGGTAGAGGCATAGACTTTTTATAGTCTATGGTAGAGGCAATCTGATGTAGGTAGAGGCATATGCTCTTTATAGAGTCTATGGTAGAGGTAATCTGATGTAGGTAGAGGCATAGGCTTTTTATAGAGTCTATGGTAGAAGCAATATCTGATGTAGGTAAAGCATAGGCTTTTTATAGTCTATGGTAGAGGCAATCTGATGTAGGTAGAGGCATATGCTCTTTATAGAGTCTATGGTAGAGGCAATCTGATGTAGGTAGAGGCATAGGCTTTTTATAGAGTCTATGGTAGAGGCAATATCTGATGTAGGTAGAGGCATAGGCATTTTATAGTCTATGGTAGAGGTAATCTGATGTAGGTAGAGGCATAGGCTTTTTATAGTCTATGGTAGAGGCAATCTGATGTAGGTAGAGGCATATGCTCTTTATAGAGTCTATGGTAGAGGTAATCTGATGTAGGTAGAGGCATAGGCTTTTTATAGAGTCTATGGTAGAGGTAATCTGATGTAGGTAGAGGCATAGGCTTTTTATAGTCTATGGTAGAGGCAATCTGATGTGGGTAGAGGCATATGCTCTTTATAGAGTCTATGGTAGAGGTAATCTGATGTAGGTAGAGGCATAGGCTTTTTATAGAGTCTATGGTAGAAACAATATCTGATGTAGGTAGAGGCATAGGCTTTTTATAGTCTATGGTAGAGGTAATCTGATGTAGGTAGAGGCATATGCTCTTTATAGAGTCTATGGTAGAGGTAATCTGATGTAGGTAGAGGCATAGGCTTTTTATAGAGTCTATGGTAGAAGCAATATCTGATGTAGGTAGAGGCATAGGC